CCCACCCCCTTCCGCCCCCACAAAGGACGAAAATTTGTTGCATCCACAATATTGCACATTCGAGAAAACTAAAAACGCAGAATCATAGATAATGACCATATCTATCAGATTGCTGAATCTAGATCAGATCGGATCATTTTTGTAGTAAAAAAGGAACAAATCAATTTTCAGTGGCTACGCAGCGCGCGACGTCTCGCTCAGACTGATTTTCTGTCTCTCTCGCACGCATTCTTTGTCGTGTTGCTTAATATTAGCGGCGTCTGCCGGAAGAGAGCCATACTGACTTAGAATCGGGTATAACTGTAGAGTTGCGGTGTCCGCAGCAACTCACAACGTTCCCCCTCGTTTTTAATAGATTTGGTTTTTTTTTATAATTTTTTAAAATTGTATTTAACAACATTTTTTTTCTGTCTTTCTACTTCTTTTTTTACATAACTAAAGTATCTTACGCCTGGTTGTATTGAACTTTGCAATTCTGAAAAGCTGATAAATGCAGCTGTAAATCCCAAACACCGTGTAGCTTAAACTTACCGTCTTAAAAATATTAAACTTTCAAATTTAAATTGATAATTTTGCCGTATTTTTTTACAAAATTTGAGTTTGATAATTCGGGGAAAGTCGAAAAAAAATATCTTGAGCTTACCGTCTGGGCAGCTCTAACCATTCAATAAGGGACCGTAACTGTTATAAGTTTTAAAATAAAAATTATAATTTAACAATTATTTCCCAATTTGAATTGAAAAATTCAAAAGTAACACTTATTTGTAATTTTTATTAAAAAATGTATGAGTAATAAAATATATATTTTTTTCAATACAAATAAAAAATAACAATCATTTATACTCTTAATTTTTTCAAAATATATATATACATAGAATGTATTTCAAAGACGAATATTAAGGATAATACTATTTTCTTTTATATCCATTTTTATACCCGATACTCAAAATGAGTAGAGGGGTATATTAGATTTGTGGTGAAAGTGGATATAAGTTTTAAAATAAAAATTATAATTTAACAATTATTTCCCAATTTGAATTGAAAAATTCAAAAGTAACACTTATTTTTAATTTTTATTAAAAAATGTATGAGTAATAAAATATATATTTTTTTTCAATACAAATAAAAAATAACAATCACTTATACTCTACATTTTTTCAAAATTAATTTTTATGATTCAATAAAAATTGATACATAGCATGTATTTCAAAGACGAATATTAAGGATAATACTATTTTCTTTTATATCCATTTTTATACCCGATACTCAAAATGAGTAGAGGGGTATATTAGATTTGTGGTGAAAGTGGATGCGTGTAACGTCCAGAAGGAAGCGTTTCCGACCCCATAAGGTATATATGTTCTTGATCAGCATCAATAGTCAAGTCAATTGAGCCTTGTCTTTCTGTCCGTCCATCTGTCCGTCACTATGAGCGCCTAGTGCTCAGAGACTATGAGAGCTAGAGCAACGTAATATGTAATATTACTTCTGTAATATGTCACTGTTACAAGTGTATTGCAAAATTTCGCCCGTTCCACAAAAGTACGAAAATCTGTGGCATCCACAGATGTCGAGACTATTAAGGCTAAAGAAATAAATGTTGGTATCCACACTCCTGTTAGCCCCACCCCTTTCCGCCCCCGCAAAGGACGAAAATCTTTGGCATCCACAGATCTCAGAGACTACTAGAGCTAGAGTAACCAAATTTTGTATCCATACTCCTTGTAGATCTCACTATTGCAAGTGTATTTCAAAATTTCGTTTATTTTGCGTAATGTTCTCGCCCTTCGACCGACCCCGCTTAGTTAGTAAGAGGAGGGATTTGTAAGAAGTAAAAAAAAGGTAATTCCATCATGGCAGCAGCAACTCAAAACGTTTCCCCTCGATTCTTCTACATTCTGTTGCATTCGTAGTATTTATTGGCAAACAATATACCAATATATTCTAAAAATACTACAAAATTCCAAATTACCAAATAATAAGCCAGTTTTTTTAAAATTGTGATATATAAGTTTGTTCTAATATCGCTACATACAACTAAAATATATATTTTGGTGTATTCAATATCTTTCTCACATTGATTTATATAGGTAAAATGTACATTCACAACTCTTATTTGCGGACCCTGATTTCAATGCAAATTTACAATTTTTTGCTGAAAATTTTTTTAAAAATGTTGATTTTAAAAACTTTGGAAAGGTTGGAAAAAATTGTTTCTTGTGTTTTATATTTCATTTGTATGGTAAAATTAATAGGGCGTCGTTTTAGACATTGCTTATAAAAATCTATGGATAAGCGGCTAATGTGCAGCCGTCCAATTTATTCAGGTCCAAATTAAAGTTGCATTTATCAGCTTTTAGAATTCGAAAAGTTCATTGCATCTATGTATATGTAAGATACTTAAGCCATGTATACAAAAAACCACTACACGTAAAAAAAAAATGGCGCAATCTCGGCTAACTGTACATTTTTTAGTTTTTATAAAAGCAAGAAACTCTTGTCTCGTGCGAATGTGCTGAATGTTAAATTTAAAGGAAGCATCGATCTCTTTTGGGAAATATTATTGCAAATGCACATAATTCTAAAATTAGAATATTTCCTCTGATTTCGTCAAAAATCACAACAGCCACCTTTGTTTTGTTCCCGTGGACATTTCTTAGTTTTTTGCAACTACATATCTAGAAAACTAAAAATTGACGAGGTTTTGGGTACATTTTTTAATTCAAGTATGTATTTTGAATTTATGCACTCTTTCGTATACTCACCAAAATACCCAAAAAAATACAAACATTTTCCTTAGAACAGTCATATTAACAATGGGCGCGCTCAGAAGAACAACGTATCTTTTATAATGTATCAGGTATCATGTTTTTGAGCTTTGGCGAACGAATATGATACCTTTATTTCTATCGCGTCAACACACAGTGGTGATGCCGACGAAAGCAGGTGGCAAGAGTCAAACAATTTAATGACAGCTTGCACAATATGAATATGAATACTTTAGGACTTTAGGAGCAGTCAAAATGTATGTAACGTAGGAATCTGTTTTTGGAATCTTTTATTTTGTATACTTATTGTCATCAATACTCAGTGAAAACTATGATGTTTCACAGCCAGTTTTAAAGCAAAAACCTATTTTTCACATAATGTAGCTAGCTTTTCGATACGTTCCAGAGCCAACGCTATTACCAGCCTGCTTTTGGAGTATCTGGCAACAGGTGAAAAAGTCTTGGTAAAGTTGACTCCGTAACGTTGAGCAACCAGTCGGGAATTGGTCGAAATTGCCATCCTTGTCACGCTTTAGTGCGTACCCCCTCAGTACCCGTCAATGCCCCTTTTGCATTAGGAGGGACACGAATATCTTCAGCCTATATGCGTTCCAGGCTGACCAGTAAAAACCTTTCTAGGTGTGACACCTTTGTGCTCAATCTGAATTTGGCTGCGCGAAGACTGACTGTTTGTCATCTTCAACTCGATCTGAGCATTCTGGCTAATCTGTGTGTTTTATTTCGTTAAAATTAACTATATATTAATCTCCACTGGTCATCTCCAGAGCCTGTTCGTGGGGAATAAAATGTTCCATATGCTGGAATTCTACAAGTTTGGGCTACGCAGATTCAGCAGCACTCGCCGAAGCTTTGCGATTTCTATACAGGCTATTCTCAATGAAAATTACATCTTGTGCCCCAATTGCTGTTTCAGAGTAACCAACCTAATAATGTTCTTCTCCTTTTGGGAAAATAATTAGAAATAATTAGAAAATAAATAGCACCAAAGATCTGCAGATGACCGACACACGGCTTCCTTTCTGCCCATACTTTAAAAGGTGTCATGCCAGCTAATGTTGAAGATTCTGCAATGTTATCAACCGTTTCGTTTTCAAAAGTATCGATTTCTTTGCCGATTAGTTAATTAATTAATTAATTATTAACTAATTAATTTCTGCAAATGATTTAAATTGTTTCAACTTGACAAAGATTACGTCTCTTGTCTTCAAAATCTTAACAAACACAAAGCGCGATTTATCACGATGAATGTTACGAATTAGCACGATCTGCTTACGGAGTATTTATCCGAGAACAATTTTTGCACGGTTTGCTACCACGAAATTTTCGTTAGCCTCGGGCAGTCAAAATTTCTTCAGGAATTTCTTCTTTCAGTTTGTCGACGATCGCACAAAAATGATTTACTGCTTTAACAAGCAACAAGTTCCGCCAGAACTTTCCCTACTCCCTTTGCAGAGTTTCACCTAGGTTATCTGCAATGATTTAATACATAGCATAGTACTTGCAAGAGCGTTCTCGTCTTGTAATTCAAACTGTGCCTAATGCGCATCATCGTCGTTTTAATTTTTCACTTTTTGACCGCACATTACTGAGCACAACTCAGAATGTATTATAACGCTATAATTCTTGTTGTTGAGCTTATCGTTGAATGGAATGTCGAACCGATTTTCATAATCAAAGAGATTAGGCGAGATCAAATTCGAAAGAAAAATACAGAACACCCAATGCGTTGTCAAAGTTTATTCAACAGCTTTTGGTGTTTTATTCAGCTTGACCCAAAAAGCTGCATTTGTTCGATTTTTAGGAATGCAAAATTTCTTAATATATTCTGTAGCATTCTCAAGTTTTGATCATCTCTAAAAAATAAACCTTGTGCAAATACTCGGTTTTATAAACATTTTAAAATCGTTAACGGATTTATGTCGTGTTAAGTATGTTTGTTTCAGTCAGAGCTTTAAATATATTTAAAAATAAACCTTAAGAAAACACTTATTTTCAAAATCCGTTAGACAGAAAACAAATTTGTTTCAGTCTGAGCTTTAAATCTATTTAAAAAAAGTTGAAACGAAGTCGAAAACGACTACGTATGTATGTGCAATGTTTCATCGACTAATTTTAAATTTAATGTGTCACAGATAGCTAGCCAAAAGTCATATTACAAGATATAAATGAATTTATTATCAAAATGATTAATTACTATTAAAATTTGTTATTCAATCTATCTATTTTTTAAGGAACAATACATGGAGGTTGTAAATCCGTTTATACTAAAAAATAAGGAGCGTATGATAGTATTCTTGGATCAGCTTTCTTTGTGTTCTGAATCGAATACACCGTTGGGAATGTTTGTCGAACAAAGTATAAATCATAATGCACAAGACACCGGTAAACTTTATTGAAATCCCCTTATAAATCTCTAAAAAACACCAGTATTCATTATAATTAAATATACTATCGATTTATATAATCACACTTGCAGGACGAGAGCTAGCTACATTGCATCACATCTGTGTATCGTATTTGCCAGAACTTCAGGAGCTATCGAATATACTCTCAATCAAGAAGCTCGTCACAGTCACGGATATGTTGACCAAGCATAAGCTGAAATATCGCGAGATGATCAGCTAAACCTCGAGTGAATCAGAGCGAAACTAGCACTACCGTGGCAACTGCCGTTGCAATACAGCTCTCAGTTCTAAGTACATATTAGTGTTACTTATTATATTATATATAAACTTATTATATAAACTGTAATTATAAAAATGTTTCCAGCACAGTCTAAATATAAAATTTTTATTTTTATAGATCTTGAAATATGTGCACGTGCTAAATTATGCAGTGGATTTAATACAAAAAGTTATAAACATTCTTTCTATATACATATAAGCCGTATATTAAATATAACCATATATGTAAGGTAATACATAAATATAACATTAATATTAAACAGCTGGCACAAAATAATAGGTCAAAATATAAGTGAATATTCATAAAAAACATGGCAAGTAGCCAAGATATACTCAAAATATGAACAAAGAATGAAATTATAACAAAATCAATACGATGTACAATTTTTTTGTAAATGAATAAGCGTGGGAATTCTTGAAGGAATAGTATCACTCAGGTTGCAGCGAAATAAAACATGCTCCAATTCCATAGCTACAATGCACAGTGGTAATTTGGATAATTTGAGCATACGCTTCTGATAAAGAACTTCAAAAATGTTAAGTTCAAGGAGATATGAGCCTTTAAAGGCTCTTTCAGGAGGAATCAAAAGTTAATTATGTAAGTATGCTTCTGTTTTTGGTCTCTTTTATTATCAGTATTCATTTTGATCAATATTCAATATCAAACTATGCTGGTTCATCGACTGTTTCAAAGTAAACCATATTCTCCAAACAATCTACTTTTTGGGTTATTTTTGCAACTTTTACTTGACCAACAGAAAAATGTTCTTTAAATATATTCTTGGACATTGATATGCAATGACTGCATCTTTCAAGTGGCGATGCAATTACTGCACCATCAAGTGGACCGTGTGACACCAGTAGAAGGCTGTTACACGCGGATCCCAGGTTAAAAGCAGCCCTCCGCAACCGAACGCGAACATACATGAGAGATAGCTGTTAGACTAATATGCGAGGAAAATTTCTTGGACGTTGACATGCAATGACTTCATCTTTCAATTGGCGATGCAATAACTGCACTATAAAGTGGCCCGTGTGACACCAGCAGACGCTTGTTATATAGGGGTCGTCAAATTCCTTTGACCATCTCTTTATAAACCCAAGCACGCCCATGTCCTTATTTACCATGGAAGAAATGTGTGTCCGAAAACTAAAGCTTGCCGTCTAATAAAACACCAAGATCATCTACCAGGGTAATCTCAAGAGAACAACCACACAAGGTATGCGGAGCCAAGAAGGGGCTATAAAGATGAAATTTCATAACTTTGCATTTCCAGGCATTAAGATGTAACAAGTTAGCACAACACCATGACTGAAAGTTATTGAGATCGGATTGCAAGCGAGAATGAAATGAAATGTCCTTATACTGGACACAGAGTTAACATCATCCGCATACATAAGTATTTGAGAGTATGTTAATACCAAAGGCAAGTCATTTATAAAAAGTGTGAAGAGTAAGGGGCCTAGATGGCTGCCCTGTGTTACTCCCGAAGAAACCTTTACTGGTAAAGAGGGGGAGTTTTTGAAGAGGACTCTTTAAGACCTGGAACAAAGATAGCTAGAAATCCATCTCAGGAGGTTGGGCGGAAACCCTAAAAGGTCAAGCTTATGCGCTAAAAGGGAATGGTTTACAGAGTCGAATGCTTTACTAAAGTCGGTGTAAATAACATCCGTCTGTAAGTTACCTTGAAAGCCTTTAATAATGAAAGAGGTAAACTCTAACAAGTTCGTGGTGGTTGATCGCCGCCTTATAAATCCATGCTGAGTTGGAGATATAAGTGACTTGCAGAGTGTTGCAAGTGCGGAGCTAAATCCTTCTCAAACATTTTGGGAATAGCAGATATCTTTGCTATACCTCTATAATTTTTTGCTTCAGACTTGCTACCCTTTTTATGGAGAGAAATAATAAATTATTCCTTTCAGATCGGTGGGAAGCATGAAGAATCAATGGACAGGGTTAATAGTTTAAGCAAAGGTCCACTCAGAGCCTCGGCGCAGTACCTGAGTACACAACCTGGAACCCCGTCTGGACCCGGTGAAAACACCGGCTTAACTAGTCGAAGATCATAAAGTAGGGAACATTCATTTAACAAGGGACTAAAAATGCCGTTCGACCTCGGTAAACCGTATGAGTACGGATGACCAGAGTAGCTTTCCTCAGAATAGGTGGTTTGGAAAAATTGTGCAAAAAGATCGGCAATTGCCTGATATTTGCTGAGGTATTACAAAATGATAGCAAGGATGGGTGTACGGACGTTCTACGCTTACTGTTTACGAAGCAGTAAAACTGTTTAGGGTCCTGAGAAAAACGTATCCTGCATTGAGATATATTATAGCATTGAGAATTAAGAACTGAAAAGTTTGACCGAGCTATTACATAGCGAGAGTGAGAAGTAGGAGAACCCACTTCTTGAAATTTTTTATAAAGTGTTGATTTTAAGTTTTTTAGAGGTTTTTTTTTGGTAAAGGGGGTTTTCCAGATCTAATCGGACAGGAAAGCGGGACACAAGAATCAAAAAATGTGCCAAGAGCATTGTAAAAAATGTTTGTGCCTTTTATGACATCAGTGCACAAGTACAAAGCGGACCAATCAAAATCCCGAATAAGATTATTAAGCTTCGTAAACTCGACCGATCCAATACAGTTGGTCCTATATCTAGCGACACTTCGAAAGTAGGATGGTAGGCGTCTTCAGGTATAGTGAGCGGAAGGGCTCGGGTTAACAACACTAAGGTGGGATCCGATACAAAGCACAGATCAAGCAATATACCCAAGGAATGTTTCACATGGTTGACCTGAGACAGGGACAGGTCAAGCAAGCCGTCAACAAAGTCATGTCGTGACAAGGGCACTAGGATACTAGACTCGTTTACCGAAGACCAAACAGTTCCTGGCAAGTTGAAGTCACCAAGAACTATCATACGATCTTTATCAGATAGCGAGGAATAAACAGCGGCTAAAGCGGACAAGTGCTGCTCATAAATTGAAATATCCGAAGAAGGTGGGATATACGAGCAAGTAATGAATATAGCGAAAGCGGGAAGAATCAGTTTTACACACAGGAATTCCAGTTCCTGTTGAATTTGGACTGTGAAGTGCTCTGACGTGAAGTAAGAGTTCACTGCAATTAGAACCTCTCCTGCACGTCGATACGAACGGTCCTTTCTAAAAGTTGTGTACCGACCTACCAAAACCTCGGAACTAAGAATGTCCGGCTTTAACCAGATTTCAGTAAACACAATAACGTGGGAAGCAAATTCAACACTTTCCCGGAAAAGAATGCTGAGCTTACTAAGCAAGCCTCTTACATTCTGATAGGATACTAAGAGGGGGGTGGAGAGAGGTTGTTAAGCTATTAAGCGTTTTTAATAACTGTTGCAATTTGAAGTTAATGAAAGTCGAGGGGCTGTTTATAATTCACAATTTATTTTCATATGTAAACCTAAACCTTATCGCGTATGTACATATGGGGATGATTCGGCGAACGATTGATGCGAGGATGTTAATCTAACAGCTGCGACGATTAGCTCAAGACTGCCCATGCAAGGGCTGACGGGCCAATCTGCCGGGCCCTATGCAGCAAGCTTAGACGCGAGCGAGAGCGTATGATAGCCCGAGATTGTTAGAGCTGCTCGGGGACGCTGTTAAGCCGAGTCCGAGAGATTGCGACATAAGGAGACGAAAGAATTCCGCTGCATGCGCATATGCGGTAGCAAATGATCTTTGCAGTGGGGGCATTGGAAACGACAAAACCAAAATGCATTTCCTTTGGGCCGCACCACTGGCAATAATTTAAAATATTTAAGCTGCTTGACCTGACATACTCCCGCCGTTGGAAGCCTGACTTTCAACAGCATCTTTAAGGGGCAGCAGGCACAGCTTGTTGACGGCGCGTTTTGTGATTCCAGATGACGTCTTCAGCACAGCAACTCGGGAAACGCCATCTCGTCCGGGCAAAAGCTCGACCACTCTCGCCAGTGGCCACTTCATGGGAGGAAGATTCTCATCCTTGACAAGAACCAAATCTGCGACAGCTAAACTAGGCTTCGCAGTGCGCCACTTTGAGCGCTGCTGCAGTGACGTTATGTACTCCTCCTTCCACCGGGACCAAAAGAGCTGCTGCAGGTACGAAACGCGCTGCCAGCCGTCCAGGCGATCGAAGTTTAGCTGCGTGACGTCAGGCTCAGCGAACGAAGCAGGAGGGCCACCATTCAAGAAATGCGCTGGAGTTAGAATATCTAGATCGGCAGGGCTCTCTGAAATTGAAACTAAAGGTCTGGAATTAATCACTGCCGTGATGAGGCACAACAGCGTCCGCAGCTCGTCAAATCCAAGAACCGAGTTGCCTATCGCACGGTAGAAGTGGTACTTGGCCATCTTCACTGCAGCCTCCCATAGACCACCAAAATGAGGGGAGCGCGGAGGAATGAAATGCCAGTCTATAGCCTCGACCAAGCAAAAATCTAGCAGCGCCTTCTGATGGTCATCGCTGAGGACCAGGCGCTTTAATTCCATCAGCTCATTCTTAGCGCCGACAAAATTGGTTGCGTTGTCTGACCAAATTTGCCGCGGCTTTCGTCTGGTACATATGAAGCGCTTTAGTCCATGTAGAAAAGCAACTGTGGATAAGTCCTTTATAAGCTCCAGATGAACAGCCTTGGTAGCGAAACAAATGAAGACGCAGACGAAGCACTTGATTGGAGCCTTGTTGCGTGCCTCCGGTTTGTAGAAAAACGGCCCACAGAAGTTCACGCCTGTGATCTCAAAGGCATGAGAACCATCGAGCCGCTCCTTTGGAAGATCCGCCATAATATGCTCCAATAGCCTGGACTTCAGTCGAAAGCATCTTACGCACTTGTTTACTGCCTTGTTTACCGTCTTCCTCTCCCCAATAGGCCAATATTGGGATCGAATTAGTCCAAGCAAAGCTCGAGGACCAGCGTGCAGATTCCGCTCATGAAAATGGGAGATTATTGCTAGAGTCAGTGAATGGCTTCTGGGCAAGATGATTGGATGACGGCCATCAAAATCCAACGAAGAGTTTTTCAGTCGACCATCTACCCTGAGAAGTCCAAACTGATCCATGAATGGCGATAACGATGCGATTGAGCTCGATGAGGAGACTGTTCCCTTTGCCCGCAGTGACTTCATGTCCTCCCATAGCTGAGTACGCTGGACTAGTCGTAGCAATACCTGGGTTCCATGTTCAATGTCTGAGACAGTGAGTCCGGGGCACCGAATTCGGTTGCAAAACTTGTGAATGTATCCGAAAACGCGTTGCAAAGAAGCAAATGAATTCGCATACTTGGAATCAGCAATAATGTCCATGTAGGGCGATTTGACCAGAAGAGCCTTCCGACGAAGTTTAAGGG